ATATATTTTAATAAAGGCAGTATTCAAAACACATTTAACCACCCTAAATTGACTTTTAGATTGGTTTTTTGGTTTTCTTTCTGAACAGAGCCTCTATAGTTTCTTTATGGCTGTGTCCAGTTGTGTAGATAAATGTGTTTTGGTGCTTTTAAGATGGCTTCGTCAGACCAGAATTAAATGATGCTTCCATCTTAAAGCATCCATCCTACTGACATTCATCACCTTTTACCTGATTTCTCTCAAACTTAAATTGGCAAAAAAAAAAGGTAACAAAAAAAGTTGCCCACATTTTCCTACGCACTGAGACTAAGCCTCTTGTGTTATTAGTAGCACACTCCCCATTCTGCTTCAGCACCTCATCTGAGAATCAGACCTGCATTAGCCTACCTGCATGGCAGATAGTGTGTGTAGTAACGGCTTTCTCTCTCTGGCCTGATGTAGTTTGTGTGTTCTCCCTTGAGAACGGGCCTGTATCTGAGTCCTGCTGCTTCTATTTGCATGTGCTTCTCGCTGTTTTTCTTCTGAGATATATGAATCACCTCTGCTCTGTCTCTGAAGTGCTTGATCTCAAATGTTGTGGGTGTGTTGTGTGGTGTGTGTGTGTTGGTGTTGTGTTGTGTGTTGTGTGTGTGGTGTGTGTGTGTGTGTGTGTGTGTTGTGTGTGTGTGTGGTTGGTGTGTGTGTGTGTGTGTGTTTGTGTGTGGTGTTGTGGTGTGTGTGGTGGTGTGTTGGTGTGTGTGTGTGTGTGTGTGTGTGTGTGTGTGTGGTGTGTGTGTGTGTGGTGTGTGGTGGTGTGGTGTGTGTGTGTGTGTGTGTGTGTGTGTGGGGTGTGTGTGTGTGTGTGTGTTGCAGTCATAAGTTCCTGTAATTTAAACTAATCACCAACCTGAGTGTGTTTTGCTTCATTTATAGTTCAAGAGGGTTGTTAATATTATCGCTTGCATCATCCTGTTTTTGTTTGACTAGAAGTGTTTCAAAACAGCATGCTTATTTTCAGAGATGAAGCAAGATGTGAGCTAAAGAGATATTATCTGTTGTCGTGTTTAAACCTGCTGCATGTGTGTGTAGATGACATTTGCAGAGTCTCACAGACTTATGACTACATTTAAGTGTCCTTAAAGTGCTCTCACTCAATTAAGATGTAATGCCAAGAAAAACGTCCTGCTACCACCTTTTGTTTTAGGTTTGAACTGATGTAGAATTGCACAGTGCTTTGCTCTGTGCCAACGCCAGATAAATCATGAAGGCTTACATTTGCTTGTGAACTTTATGATGACCTTCTGATGAGGTGGTGTGTGTGCTGCTATGTTTGGTTCATGGCCTTTCATACATTTTTCTTTGTATTCTTTTGGATCGTTACATAACATTGAGTTTTATTGTCCAGATGTCTTTACGTATTCTGCAGCGGAGGTGCTTCATCATTGTAATGTTTGACTTTTAAGTCCTGATAGTTTTAGTGCAATTTGAATACCTAGATGTGTGTCATTTCTCTGAGATGAGGAGATAGTGACCTCTGATGGATATTGTTGTTGAAATGTTATGGGTGCAAAGAGAATTTGAGTGATGAGTGTGTTTCAGAGTTTTGGTGTTGATATCGGAGGCTTTGGTGTGTCTGGTCTGCTCACCAGATGACGAGGTAACAGTGGGGAAGTTCTATGCCACATTCCTGATACAGGACTACTTCAGGAAGTTTAAGCGGCGCAAAGAGCAAGGTCTTGTAGGAAGGCGCTCGTGGGAAAAGCTGAACACAACCATGGCTCTTCAGGTGAGTAAAGCACAATCTCATACATTCGCTGAGTGAGATGAATTAACAGTGATTATATTAGAGCCAACGTCAACTCTGTCTATGACAACAGAAAAAATTACTTTCAAAAGTCAGCCTATTATCTTCAGTAGACAAAGCGACTTGCCAGGCGACTTAGAACATACTATATTATTTTGTAGTGCTCACATAACTGAAAGACCACTTTAGAAACAGGATGATCCAAATCAAACTGTCTTTTTACCAAATAAGTATTTCCTATGAGAACTTTTATCCAGGCTAACCAGAATGTTACATTGTTATCAGTGTTTATGGATAACACTGACGTCACTGAAGTGTACTCTGGTAGAAAAAAAATGTTAGCTCCTAAAAATATTAGGTGCTAAAAAAAATTCAACAATAATACTTAACCTGACAGAGATACACATCTGGATAAACCCCCTGTGACATCTGTCAGATCTGGTATTATGGTTTCTCTCTTGGCAGGCTGGCCTGCGCACGCTGCATGACATCGGACCAGAGATCCGTCGAGCCATATCATGTGACCTGCAAGGGGCGGGGCTAGTAGAGGCTGATGGAGAGGAAGAAGAGGATATATACAGGGTAAGTATCCTTGAAGAAACACTTTTTATTTTTTTAGTTATTGAAGGACACTTTTCCTTATATAGGCCAATCAAAACAAACCATTGTTATGGAAATCTAAAAACCCCAATACTGTAGAGTACACGTCAAAGTGATCAAATCAATGGTGAATCAGAGAGTTGTCTTTCTGGTGATGTTTATTCGAGGCCTCAAACAAACATCAGATACAATAAGATATAGACACAGGTCTCACAGAGCATAGGATAGTCTGCGCGAGTGTGCGCAGTTCAATATGATAGCAAAGCTTATATTGAGGAAAGGGTGGGAAGGTAATAAATCTGTCTTCACACGGTCACATTGTTATTAGACACATGTCCTTGAGCTGTAGATCTCAGGAAAGGCAAGTTCTCCTGTGACTATGTGTGAGTCTTTCATAATAGCAGCTGTGGCCTTGAAGTAGAGTAGATAGAAGCAAACAGTACATCTAACCAAATGAGAAGCATTTGGTTACTTTGAACATATAAGGAATATAATAAAAATTTCCACTACACCATGTTCCTCTTGTTTTACATCCTACACTTTTAAGAGAGGTTTCTGTTGATTTAAAAAAAATTACTTTCAACTAACAAACTGCCCTTTAGATGATTCACTGTTACAACACACATTATATTTGGCATTTTTAAGAATTAGTGAAAGTCATTATCACGTACATACTGTGCCTGTCACTCATTGTTAACATTATTGCCTTTTCTTTATGTTTTGAATGTCTATTTAATCATTGTACTTGTACCTCTGGTTGCGATTCCTTAATTTAAACATTGCTTATCTTAGAAAGTGGTACTTGTAAAGAGCTTACTGTGTATAAACCTGTTTCTGTCTTAGTACTCATTGGTTTCTGGTGTCTCTCTGCTGCAGCGTAACGGAGGCCTTTTTGGTAACCATGTCAACCACGTGGGTGCAGATCAGCAAGGCTACTCTCACCCGACCACCGCCACCCAGCGGCCACTACAGATCTTGCCCTTTTCCTGCGGGGGCTCCACCGGGCCAACCCAAACAGGCAGGAGGGCCAGCGAGGGCGACGCAGGAGAGGAGACGGAGATGAACTCTTCACCTATCCAGTACAACCATCATTATCACTCCCCCCATCCGTATAATAACCCCCACTGTATTCCCACCTGCCATCAATCGCCAATCCCCTCCAATGCCAACCTCAACAACGCCAACGTACCCTCGCTTCTCTCCATGGCCAATGGGAGGCAGCAGAAGTGTTTGTTAGGGCGAGACCGTCCGTCCTCTGCCAAAAACCCGGTCATCAGTGTCCACCTACAGCAGAGGAGTACACAACAAGCTTTGGAAGTCACACTCCAAGGTCAGTGAAAAAAAGGATTATAGTCCTTCAACATATGCAGTAGGCGTCTCTAAGAACTGTGTAATATCAGTAGAGGAACTGTTTAAATAAGAATCATAAACCAAAGCAGTCTTACCAGCATTTTGTATGATAAGGAAAACTGACTTCAAAGTGTATTTGAGTAAAGAGAGTATGACTAAGCCAAGCTGATATACTGTCCTGTAGGGCTGGTTGATCATTCAATATTCTCAATTAATCGTCACAGATCTATGACATGAATATAATTAGCTAAAACAAATCTTAGTTATGAGGAATAACAATGGAAAAAAGGGCATGTTTGATAGAAACCCACCCTGAACCACCCTTCCATGATGACAAAAAGTAGCTTTTGCTTTCAGAAAGTCTCACGTCATGATACTCCTCCCGTAACTCCTGGCATTGTGTGCCCAAACTCCCACTTGTTTTGTTAACATTCATTTTTTTTATTTATTATAGTAGAAATGTAAGCAAGCAAATGTGAGCCAAAGCAATTTAAGGTTATTTGTAGTTGAGAATGACTCACTAATATAAAAATAATTATACAACAGGTGCAACTTTCATTCGTGTAATCTTGTCTATTTTTTCATTGCATGCTACCTCTCTTTCCGTCCCTCTCCCGATTATACCGCTCCTCTCCTCTGAGCAGGACACGCTACTATGAGGCCTACATTAGGTATGTGCATGATTTTAGTTTTTTTTCACAGTATGATTTTTGGTGTGTGACACAAACTCGCTGTGAATGATTCTTACTAATAAAAAGAGATGTGTCTGTTTCAAAGCATGCAATAGAGGATGAGCACTGTGGAGAGGCCTTGTGATGTTTACAGTAATAACATGTCCGCATAAAATCTCCAGCAAACAGTAACTGTGAATAAAGTCATCATGTAATTCCTATATGTGAATGATCATCACATTTCTACAGATAAATGTTTGACTTGTTTACGTTTGACTCAAAGGTCAGAGAGCAGCAGTGGGCTCTACCCCACCATTCGTCGAGAGGAGTCAGGGGGCGGAGACAGCGATGAAGAGCGAGGCTCGGGAGAGTACTTTAGTGGGGAGGAGTTTCAAGAAGACGACATCATGGTCACAAAGGACAGGTAACAGCAGCTGTCAGCCCAACAGGATGTAGCGGCGTATCTTGTTTATATTACTTTATTTATATGTATTATCTCAATGGCAAGAATGTATGCAGCATGTATCACTTTTGATTCATGGTGCATCGCTGGTATCATACTCTCCAGTAACAACATAATAACAATTAACTTATTTGCTACCTTTTTCTCTCTTTTTACCACTTTGTTTTATAACGCTGACATAATTATTTGGGCGACATTACCGCATTTAAATAGGTAGGGCGAGTATATTAGGTATATTGTAGTGCCGTGAAAAGAGAGTCGGAGGTGGTGTATTAAGAATGGAGTTCCAATCTTTATTATCCATTAATGTCAGAGAGGTTAACACATGAACTGCTCTGCCTGATGAGCTAGCAGGAATGGCAGCTAAAGCTACAGGTGTTCCCACTAAAGGGTCCGTGTGGCAACACAATAAGCAAGGTGATTTATGGTCCCACCATGGTGTCACCACACAAGCCCCCCCAGAATTCACACATAAACAAAATCAGCATGGCGGGGAGGAACGACACGCCGACCCCCACGACTCCTGAGCACGGGAGTCGAAAAGTGACTTCCGCCTGTGCGGCCCCGGAAGGGGAGGGACCGGAACAACAGGTCTTAAATCCGTGACAGGGGACGAGGCCGGGGGGCGGCCCCGTCGCGGAGGTCGAGCCAGCACCACAGGCTGGTCCAAGTCCAGGTGAGCAGCCTTCACCCGGTCCACCGAGACGTGCTCGGCCTTGCCACCCAGGTCGACCACCAGGTGCTTGTCCCCGTGCTCCAAGACCCGGAAAGGCCCATCATAAGGGGGCTGCATGGGGCCTCTGTGCGCATCGTGCCGGATGAACACGTGCTCCGCCGAGCGGAGCTCTGCGGGAACCTGGGACACCTGAGTACCGTGCTGAGTAGTAGGGATCGGAGCAAAGGCCTCAGCGGCGTCCTGCAGGAAAGCCCTGGGCCGACGCCGACCAGGGAACGGTGCGTTAGGGAGGAAATCCCCTGGAACTCTCAACGGCTGCCCGTAGACCATCTCAGCCGTTGAGCACTGCAGGTCTTCTTTAGGCGCAGTCCTCAGGCCCAGCATCACCCAGGGCAGCTTGTCGACCCAAATCCCGTCCTTAAGGCCGGCTTTGAGGGCAGCCTTCATGGAGCGATGGAAGCGCTCGCAGAGGCCGTTAGCCTGAGGGTGGTAAGCGGTAGTCTTACAGCTTAACCCCCAAACCGCCTGCCACGGCATTCCAGAGTTCGGACGTGAACTGAGAGCCCCTGTCTGAGGAAATGTCCAACGGGGTGCCAAAACGACACACCCACTTTGCAATGAAGGCCCGGTCAACGTCCACGGCCGACGTCGAAACGAGCGGGACCGCCTCCGGCCAACGGGTCGTCCTGTCCACCATGGTGAGGAGGTAGGAAAAGACCTGAGAGGAGGGCAACGGACCAACCAGGTCAATGTTGACGTGGTCAAACCTCCTCTCAGGCACTAGGAAACGCTACAAAGGGGCCTTCGTGTGGCGGTGCGCCTTCGTGTGGCGGTGCACCTTAGCGCGCTGACAAGCCACGCACTCACCAGCCCAAGTCCTCACGTCCTTTTTCAGCCCATGCCAGACGAACTTCGCGGCCACCAAGCGCACCGAAGGCTTAACGCCGGGGTGTGACAGTCCGTGCACTGCCTCAAACACAGAGCGCCTCCAGCTGGCGGGAACGACTGGCCGCGACAGGCCTGTGGAGACGTCACACAGGAGGGTAACGCCCGCGTCGCCGAACACCACGTCCTCCAAGCGCAGCCCCGCGCCGGGGTCTGTGACCTGGTCCGCCGCCATGCGAGTATAGTCCAGGCCCAACTGGACGGCTCCGATTGCGACTCTGGAGAGGAAATCTGCAACCAGGTTCGACTTGCCAGCCACGTGCTTAATGTCTGTGGTGAACTCAGAGATGTAGGAAAGCAGCCGCTGCTGACGTGCCGACCAAGGCTCCGCCACTTTAGACATGGCGAAAGTGAGTGGCTTGTGGTCGACAAACGCCGTAAACTCCCGGCCTTCCAGCATGAAACTGAAGTGCCGCACGGCCAAATAAAGACCCAGGAGCGCACGGTCAAAAGCGCTGTACCTGCGTTCTGGGCGTCAGCTGGCGGCTGAAAAAGGCGAGCGGCTGCCAAGCGCCTTCCACCCACTGGTCGTGCACCGCGCCGACCGCGTAGTCCGACGCATCCGTGGTGATGGAGATGGGAGCCGTAGATGATGGGTGTGCCAGCAAAGCCGCCTGAGCCAACGCGGTCTTGACCTCAGCAAAAGCGACGTCCACCTCTGCCCTCCAGTCGATCGCCTGGACGGGGGTCTTGCCCTTCAATGCTTCATACAGCGGCCGCATGATGTGTGCGGCCCGGGCGATGAAACGGTGGTAGAAGGTCACCATCCCCAGAAACTCTTGGTGACGCGGTGCCCCAGGAAATCAATGTCAGACACCCCGAACTGGCACTTTGCAGGATTGATGATTAATCCGTGTTCGTTGAGCCGCGTGAAAAGGGCTCGGAGGTGGGACAGGTGCTCCTGCACTGAAGCGCTGGCGACGAGTATGTCGTCGAGGTAGACAAACACAAACGGCAGGTCCCGCAGCACCGAATCCATCAGGCGCTGGAACGTCTGAGCAGCATTCTTGAGTCCAAAAGGCATCCGCAGGAACTCAAAAGTCCAAAAGGCGTTATCACTGCTGTCTTGGGAATGTCCAGAGGGTGCATGGGCACCTGGTGGTATCCACGCACCAGGTCCACCTTGGAAAACACCCCCGTACCGGCCAGATGCGCCGAAAAGTCCTGAATGTGCGGCACCGGATAGCGGTCAGGCGTAGTGGCGTCGTTGAGTCGGCGGTAAGCCCCGCACGGGTGGAACCCGCCGTTCGGTTTGGGGACGACGTGCAGGGGGGAAGCCCAAGGACTGTCGGAGCGGCGGACAATGCCCAGGCGCTCCATGGTTGCGAACTCCGCCCTCGCTACAGCCAGCTTAGAAGGGTTCAGCCGCCGGGCCCTGGCCTAGACAGGAGGCCCCCCGGTAGTGACGTGGTGCTCCACGCCATGCTTAGTGGTAAGCGCAGAGAAGGTGGGCAGCGACAGGTCTGGAAACTCGGCCACAGTCTGAGAAACGTGTCTGCCCCCGGCAGCGAGCCCGACAGCCCCAGGGTTTTGCTGCGCTGCCAAGTGTGCACATGAGGGAAGAAAACGTTAAGGCATCAACCAAACGCCTATTCTTAACGTCCACTAAGAGTCCATGAGCACACAAAAATCCGCTCCGAGGAGGGGAAAAGAAATGTCCGCTGTCACAAAATCCCAGCTGAAACGCTGTCCTCCGATGCACAAACACATAGGCCTCACGCCGTACGTGCGAATGGGACCGCCGTTAGCCGTCGTCAATCGCGGTCCGTGCCCACCCCGGGTGACGTCTTCACTCAACGCTGGAACTACGCTCCATTGAGCGCCCGTGTCACACAGAAACAGGCTCCCCGAAACGCTGTCGCTGACGAAGAGGAGCCTGCACGTGCCGCCGACGCTTAGGGCCACTGAGCGCCGGCCCCTCCGTTTCCCGGGGGTTTGTAGCTGCACGGGGCGATGCATTTCTTCGCCATTGTCCCGAAACGTGCGTGGTAAAAGCACTCTCCGGTGTCTCCACGCCAGCTCGATACAGCCCTGTCCTGCCTCCGCCACGCTTTCTTGACTGCAGATGGGCCGCTGAGCGTCGCGGCTAACGTCTCTGCACCGGGCTGTTGTTGTAGCCAGGAAAAAACGATCCGCTTCCTCAGCCAAGGCACGGGGCTCCGTGACAGGCGTGTGGCCAGCGCCGTCTGGACCCGGGGAGGCAAGTGACGCAGGAAAATCTCCGTGAATAAAATCCGGGGATCTTCCCCCCCTAGCAGATTAGCATTTTCTCCATTAGCTGGGATGGCTTGCTGTCTCCTAGGCCTTGAATGTCAAGTATCTGGCGGGCCCTCTCCTTAGCAGATAAGCTAAATGTCTTAAGGAGAAGGGCCTTAATCGCCTCATATTTGCCATGGTGTGGGGGGGCTGCGATAAATCCCACCAACTTGGACGACGTGGAGCTCCCCAGCGCTGCTACCACATGGTAATATTTCAGGTCCCCGTCACGGACCTGTCGGCAGGCGAAATGTGCCTCCACGTGTGCGAACCATGCCTCCGCGGCGTGCTCCCAGAATTCCGGCAGCTTTATGAAAACATCGCGCTCAGCCATGTTCGTTAATTTTCCGGAAACTTTCTCGGAAAAGTCAGGGTCACCAGTGTAGTGCCGTGAAAAGAGAGTCGGAGGCGGAGTTCCAATCTTTATTATCCATTAATATCAGAGAGGTTAACACATGCACTGCTCTGCCTGATGAGCTAGCAGCTAAAGCTACAGGTGTTCCCACTAAAGGGTCCATGTGACAACACAATAAGCAAGGTGAATTATGGTCCCACAAGGTGTCACCACAATATAAAGGTTGGCGGCGTTTCCTCTTATCTCAAGCAATATTCAAGTTTTGTCTAGTTAATTTACTTATTGTATCTAAGGGAATATGTATGGGATTAGTTTTGTATCATAAAGATAAACCAACACTTTCTCAGAATAAACCAATACTATGAGTTTAAAATAAAATAAAAATAAATTTCAAAAATAAAACTAAGTTGCAAACAAATCCTTTGTGTAATCATGTAAACTACAAGTCTTTTTTCTTTGTTTTAACATAGGTTTTGTTTGCAGTTCTTGTTTCTTCTTCTCTCAATGATCAGACTTTTGCTCGAGCTGCAGCTCTCTCATTTTGCGCTCCTTCACTTTTTGTTTGAGATTCTGACACAAACGTCCCAGGTGGGCGGGACTTTCAGGGGTGCGTCCCCATTGGCTACTCAGTGTTTGAGTGACAGCCCAGTCCTCCAGTGATTGTACATGATTACACAAATGATTTCTTTGCAATTTATAGTTTCATTTTTGAAATGTATTTATCTTGCTTGACATTTTTCTTCTTTTAAACTCATAGTTTTGCTTTATTCTGAGAGAGTGTTGCTTTATCTTTATGATACAAAACTAATCCCATAAATATGCAGGGTTTTTTAAAATAAATTCATGAAGTAAATCTTGGAATTATTACCTACAATGGCTCTTAATACAGCATAGTAACATGAACAAGATATGAGGTTTTTTTTAAACTTTTTGTTCCACAGATTGTTCAACAGGGACCAGCGTGATGCAGAGGCAGACCTTGACCACATGGTTTCCAGGGGCGACCAACAGCCTGATGGTTACTTTGACGATGACCAACAGCCGATCTACCAAGACGACAGGCGGTCACCCAGGAGATGGCTCTTACCCTCGCCTCAAGGTGATATGCAACAGCACAGCAACTGTAGTTAAGTTTATTAAGATGAGTGATTGAGAAGTAATTCAGATTATTTAAAACAGTAAGATTAAATGTTTTTATTTCAATGATCAACAATATCAATTTTATCAATCTGTTACAAATACCAATAAACTAGGCTGATTCATTCACCTTCAAATTAACAAGTCGTGTTTCTGTTATTTGGAAGCAGCTTTTTGGAATTAATACAAAGGGAAAAAGTTAATAAGTCATCTGGTGTTATTATTACATATATGTATGCGTTAAATTATCTTTTTTCCCCTCAGCCTGCACAAGACCAACATTCAGTTTTGAGTGTCTTCGTAGAAGAAGTAGTCAGGATGATGCTCCTCTCTCTCCATCCTGCACAGCTCTTCCACTGCACCTTGTACATCAACAGGTACACACACACACATTTTTTATATTTGGATATTGTGATGCATTCATCTACAGTACGTCCCTGTTTTGCTCTTCTCTTTACCCCAAAATGCCTGCCTTTTTTGTTCGCCCCTCAGGTGATGGCGGTGGCCGGTCTCGATGCCAGCAGAATTCACCGCCGGTCTCCGACGCGATCGCTCCGCTCCTGGGTCACGCCTCCTGCCTCGCCCATCAACAGGGACTGCTCGCCCTGCTACACACCTCTCATACAGGTCTGCCTCACTGTGAGATAACTTATTTCTAGATAACGCTCAGGTCGTCTAGCATTTGCCCTAACAAAGGGGTTGTTCATGTCAATATTGGTGGGATGTAAAGGTTTTTAGTGAGCTTTACAGGTCTTAAGGGGCCCTATTATACTTTTGGGGGGTTTACCCTTTCCTTCAGTGTGTTATATAGGTTTTTGTGCATGTAAATAGTCTGCAAAGGCTAACATCCCAAAGTTCCTCTCCCGCACACACCCCCCGTGCTGAAAAGCCTTCATTGGACTCATTTGTTTTCTTCTGTAACGTAGTGACATCACTACGTAACACTCAGGCATTATGAGAGAAATAAATACCTTTTTGAACATTAAAGCATGTAAACATGTCACAGTAGAAGGACAACATACAGTCATGTACGGAGCCCCTAAAGGTTCATGGAGAGGAACAAAAAGTATCTTGTGCGCACAATATACTTCTCGTGCGCACAAGTTAGTATTTCGTGCGCACAAGATACTTTTTTTTTCTTTTTTATTCGCACAAGAAAGTTATTACCGGTGCGCCAAGTAGGAGTGGAGCACAGAGAAGACAACCATTTCATTGCAGACTGTTATGTTTTTGTGGAGAAATGGCAGTGCATACATTATTTGAGATATATTTCAAAACTCGGACTTCATTTAGGGACATTTTGGCCAGGGGTTTAGAGCTATTTGTTAAGCACCGGATTTTGCAAACAGAAGAGTCTGCAGACCAGTCTGCTTTGATCTATGAATTCCTGTCCATGACTCACAGTATCTGCTGCCCACAGCTGTTTTATAGAAGAAAAACTCCTTCACTTTATGAAATCTCTGCGGCACCAGTGGCCTTTACTACGAAGCAGGATTTGCTATTTTACTATTCATTCATGAAGTATATGACGCTGCGCTGTCAGCACGCTTCCTCCATGTTTGTGATTGGTTTAAATGTTGCTAACCCCGTCCCTTTCACGTGAACGCTCTCAGCCGGACAGAGAAACCCTGGTTGATTTTACTGAGTTGATAACAGCTTCGTAGGACCGCTTAGTGAGATCCCGTTTGTTAGGGTTAATTAAGCCGGGTAACTCAAACATATCCAGGGTCTGTTGAACTGGCTTCGTCGTACAGGCACTGGAGGGAAGTAACGTGTAACTCAGCAGAATCTGAGAAGAGCAGCACCAGCTGCAAAGAGCTGTGCCTTTTACTGTTTACTTCACTGTGTTTTCCCTTCATTAGAACTGCTGAATAGAGATTGAGGCTGCTACGTTTAACCACACACACCTATACACACATCGAACTGCCAGAGTATTCCCCCCTCGTTTTATGAAGGAGATTCCGGTCACCGGGGCGCATGATGTGTGTTGTGTGTGTGTGCTCAGCTCCGCTCTGTGTGTGCGTGTTCGGTGTGTTTTGTGTGTGTCCGACACCACCGGCATTTGTTTTCAAATGACCACGAAACAGTTAATTTACACCCATCTGGTTCTCCGTAGTTATATGTGTATTTCCAAGTGAAAGAATTTGTTTAATCTTAATCTCGATTGTAGTGCTTAGTCCTGTCGGAGTGCACCGGAACACTATCATAAAACAAATGCGCACACCACTCACACACACAACCAACACACACACACACACACACACAAACACACACACCACACACACACACACACACACACACAACACACACAACACCACACACACAACACACACACAACACACACAACACACACACACACACACACACACACACACACACACACACACACACACAAGCCCTGCAACAGACATATTCTTCATAAAACTAATATATGGCGTAATAATCGGACAGTTCGATGTGTTTTTCCATCAGAAAGTATCTTGTGCGAACGAGAAAGTATATTGTGCGCACAAATTAATAAAGCGTGGCCTCGTTTTATTTATTTTTCTCTCTATGAACCCTCCAGGGCTCCGTAGTGATGAAACCCTCAAAATGAGCATAATAGGGCCCCTTTAAAAAAGTCAGAGTGATAGTCTTTATAAAGATTGTTCTCAGTCGGAATTAACTATGCTTGCTTAATACATTGTCTGCAAGTGTTTGTAGGTCTTTTTTTCTATAAGTCATGTTCGTGTGTATCTGTGTGTGTGTACTCAGGTGGACTGGCGTAGTCACGGCAGCGTGGGTAGCCTCCCCGGAGCGGGTGATGAAGAGGAGTTCGTGGTATACAGACGGCCATGACGGTCCTCCCAGCCGCAGTCTCTCTCCGTCCCCGCCTGCAGCTGCCAGCAGAGTGCTGCTCTCACTTCCTGCAGAATAGAGGAAGCGCTATCAGTGTGGTGGAGGCTGTGAGTAAAGATTATAAAGGGTCCTCCAACTTTAGAAAAACTCTGATTTAACACATATTTAAATGTATCATAGTTTTAAAGCTGACTTTATATGCGAGTGTAACATTAATACTTTTATTACCAAGCCCTTGATAATTGAAATTGTTTAACCAATTAATTGTCATTTACCAACATCACATTTATATTTGAACAATTCTTAGATTTGATAAGCAGTCAAAACATTTTTTTTCCTGGAACCCCTATGAGGACTGTGAGAATCCCCCTTTGTCTCAACATTTACTTGAAGGTCCCATATTATACTATATTTGAAAATATATATTATAGGGCCATATCTATACAAAACTATCTCTGAATTGTTGTGCTCAAAATACCAAACAGATCACCCATTCTAGGCGTTCGAAAGCGCTGGAGACGCTGTAGTACATATGCCAGGCCTGTAGGTGGCGCTGTAGTCTGCCACAAAAGCAGCGAAGAAGACTTCTCAGATTCAGCCCTTGCAGAGCTGGAAAAGAGCAAATAGAGCGAAATGAGACATGGCTAAAATGCATGATCTGTTGGTATTTTTATTTTTATTTTTTTCAAGATTTGCCATTGTCCAGGATGTAGCTCCTCACAACATACAGTCAGGTTCACCAGGCGAAAAACTAAAACATTTGAAGCCAAAAATAGATGTGTCATCTGCAATAAGCAATGGCTACGGGGAAAGGAACCAACCTCTAAGGCAGGGGTGTCAAATGCAATGCCCGGGGGCCAAATCTGGCCCGTGACTTGATTTTTCTGTGGTCCCAAAAGAGGTTGCAAAGCATATATATGTTTATTATATGGTTACATGAGATTACAGAAGCCCTTTGACCATAAACTACATGTCCCACAATGCATCTCAATTTTTTTAAACTCAGAATTTGACTTTTTTTCTTCTAAATATGCCCTTTTTTCTTAGAATGTGCCCTTTTCTCAGGAATTTGATTCTATTGCATGTCACTTCTTTTTGTTTAAATGTCACTTCTTCTTTTTTTTTTGAAATGTCACCCTCATTTTTTTGAAATGCCACTTATTTTTTTGATTTTTGACTTTTTTTCCAGAATTTGGCTTTTCTTTTTAAATCATTTTGTGACATTCTCACTGAAGAGACTTGCTATTATTTGCCCCAGACTTCTGCTCTCAGACGTAGTTAATTATGAAGTTATTACCCCTATCTGATAATAATCCAATGCAGAGGCAATAATGTAATATAATACATTATTTTATATATATATTTATTTATATATGTATTTTTATATAGTCTAAAGTTACAACGGCCCTTTGAGTGCAGTCATAATGCTGATGTGGCCCGCGATTAAATTGAGTTTGACACCCCTGCTCTATGGTCTCCACAAAAAACTGTCAAAAGACCATTGAGTTGAAAGCAAATAAGCTGGGCAGAGATGACATATTGCTGAGACTGATTGGGCAAGGTCATGACATGGTTGCCAATGATATAGCCTACCACAAACCATGCATGAACAACTTCAAGGCTCAGCGCGTTCCTTCTGGAAAGCCAAGGCTGAATCTTATGCTGTTGCATTTAGTCGCCTTGTGGAAAGAGCTGGAGGCGCCTCTTTTCCATGACCTGTCAGGATTCCTTGTGAAATCATTGCGTGACCGGTACCGAGAAATTCTGAGGGAGCTTGGTATCAAAACTGCAGATCAGTACCGATCGACTACACTGGAATTGAAGCTGCAGCAAACACTTTGATGGACGTTTGTTTCAATCCTTGACCAGACCTGTGGTTCAGGCAATATGCATCAGCTTGTACCCCTCGGTGATGCCCCTTGAGAAGCTGAGGCGACTAGAAGCAGACCATAAGGAGGACCGAGAAATACCATGCATTGTGGCAAGCTGCAAAGATTCTTCGAACAGACTGTGTGAATTGCATGAGGCAAACTCATGAGAAGCGTTCAACTCAGATATCCTTCAAATCTGCTAATGACATGGTTCCTGACTCACTCTTCAACTTCACAGCCATGCTGCTAATGACAAGATACTGGAACTCAATGATGATGGAAGAGTCATTGTTGATCAGCCAACAGCATAGAAAACCATCATTATGTCACAGCACGTCCTCCGGCATGTTTCTAGTGTATCAACACATTTGGCCACTATCTACCACTTATTCAACAAGACACGTAGTAAATCACTCATTATGATGAATAACAGATTGGGGCTTGGGATCAGTTATGAACGTATGCAGCGTCAGCTGAAAGCACAAAGTGAGAAGGTCATGCAGCAGGTTGAAACCAATGGTGTTTACGTCCCAGAGACCATGATGAAAAACAGCGATATCTCCCATGTGTTTGCCATGGACAATCTGGACTGGAAGAAGAAGACACTGGAGGGTGGGAGTTTTAATGCCACCACTTGCAATCATAATTGAAAACCAAAAGATTGTGCGGGTCCAGGAAGGTGCCAGACTCCCCACTTCTACCTCGGACAGAAAGAAGAACTCTCTCTGATGTTACTGACCTACCTGCTCTGCTCCCATGTGTCACGTCTCTGCTAAAGACAGGCAGAGGTCCAGGTCACTTGGGCATATTGAGAAGCTAGAGTCTGGATCAGACCCGGCGTCATGGACGGGCCCCATGGGGCCGGGCCCGCCCATCCAGGATTTGGGCCCGCTGTTTTAATCAGGGCTGAATACAACATTTTAATTGTTTTATTATTATGTTTATTGTTGTTATTTGTAGGGCTTTGTCCTCAAATTTATTTTTATTTTAAACTATGTTGAAAGATTAGTTTAATATCATTTTTTAAATTTTGCTATGAAATTCTGAATGAAATTCTGAATGAAAGGCTGCGCGCGAGACTGGATGCAGGCACATTAGAAGATATCAGTTACGTTACCAACGAGCTAGCAAGCCAGCCAGGACAAGGGAGGGCTGGCAATCAATTATATTTTGAAGAGAAATTGACTCTCAAAGCCCCCCCCCCCCCCCCCGAGTGTTAGTGATGCTTGCTTATGTAAACACAGACCATATTACTTCCAAAACACGTCACACATTTCCGATATGACTTCAAGTCCACAGCAAATCGGATAAGCTCCGTTGTACCCCCGTTTTTAGAGATGTGGGTAAGGAGAAAAGAGAGAGGGTTTATTTTCTGACACTTTGTGAGTCTCCTTACACACCGGGGACACATATTTATGTATGAAATACATACAAAAGTGCATTTTGCATAATAGGTGACCTTTAAATTGTGACTTGAAATAATGTTTCACTTCCCCAGGTGTTGATCTCCGAGGGTCTTGGGAAATATGCCAAGGACCCCAAGTTTGTGACAGCGACACAAACGAAAATCGCAGACGCCTGCGAGATGACCATCGATGAGATGGAGAGCGCCGCCAGTAACCTGCTGAACGGCAGTATAGGTAGCTGCAGCACAGGGGCCACGAGCAGCGAGGGGCTCGGACTCGCAGGCCGCCTCGCAGCTCAGAGACAGCAGCATCCGGGACTTACAGCGATGAGGAGCCCTGCGTGGCTCTGAAATGTGAAGAGGACCTAACAGATGAGATGATATGCATCACATCACCTATAGCAGCGGCTCACATGGGATTATTTAGGTTTTTTCAATTGAATTTCTACAACCAATCCACAGTGAGGGGATGTCTCAGTTCAGGAGCATCCTGGGGAAAATGTAAAATATGGGGGGATAAGAGAACAAAGTGCCTTGTTTTTCTCTTTCTGTGGAGTGGAGACGCAAGAGAGGAACAGATGGTTGTATGGGAGAGCTGAGATTCAGTCAGAAAATATTGAAGCCAGAGAGACTCGACCTTTTCACCAGCCTGCCGGTCATTTAGCAGGAATTCGGGATACCCCTTAAGGTGTTTGATTTTGTTATTTTCTTCATTATTAGCGGTTGTTTGAAACAACAGAATAACCTGCCAGCCTCGCAAAGCCAGCCCAAGCTCATAAGTTAGTTTTCCCAAAAACATACTTTGAGAAAGAGCTGCACACCTTGGTAAAATACTGGAAGTTAATGTACTTGGTTATTCATATTATTTGTTTTGCCTCTGTACTACAGTGCATTGTTTTTCAAATTAAACAGCAACTTTGATGGCTTTAATTTGAGGAGTTTTGCATATTGAGTGAACAATAGCGGGATTGTTCTGATGCGTAATCCAAAAGTTGTGGGAACATGTTTAAAACAAGAACAGTTTTCCTACAACATAAAACTGTGTCACACTGATGTTTGAAAGAGTAACGCTGGCTTTGCAAAGCTGCTTTTGTCCTGCTGCAAAATGTCTTGTCCTGAGTCCTTGTTTTCAGATGGGTGTTTCATGTCATGTATATAACGCGTGATTTTATAAAAAAATAACCTTTAGTGGTCACGATAAGAGACCCTGGTTATTCACATTACATTCTGGCCTCCTATGTCTTGAATTAACCACATAAAAGTTGAATAAAACAATTATATTTTTATTTTGTTAATGTATTTCAGGCTATTGTTAGTGCAGAGCTACACTCAGGCTGATCTGAGTCCAGATGTTTCAGGGTTAAGCATTGCTCGTCTCGGTACTTGACTTGAAAAGGAGATCACATATCACAGAATAAAGACTTTGTCCTCAGGCATATCCTTCTGTTCACACGTGCACAATGATCTGAAACACAGAAACTGTGTGTATATAATACTCTTCGCCCTTTACAGCAACAACAGAGAATTAATGTACCCCATTTTACTTGCTTAAATACTTTAAACACCCTTAAAATAGAGGAAGATATGGTTGTTAGTAACTGTTCCATTGTGATCCTTAAAGGGGCCCTGCATGCCTTTTTGGGGGTTTCTCATTCCCGTAGTGTGTTGTATAGGTTTGTGTGCATGTAAATGTCTGCAAAGGCTAAAATCCCAAAGTTTCCCTCATGCTTCTATTGGCTAGCGTTTCCAACACATTGTAACGTGATAGGCTAATGGGCGGGACGTCCATAAGCGTCTGAAAAATCACAACAGTGCCGGCAAGCTAACCAATCAGAGCAGACTGGGCTCTGGTTTCAGACAGAGGGTGAAAAGACCGGGCAGGTAGTATGAAAACAAAGCCACTTTTTGAACATTATAGCATGTAACATGTCACACTTACAATAACATTTATAAACCTGAAAATTAGCATAATAGGGCCCTTTAATTTGTATTCCGAGCCCCCTTAAAGACTATGAGGAGAGACCATTTCATTGTTAGAAACTCAGCCATAAATACGCAATGAAAATAGGACAAACATCAGATAATACTGTAGAGGAGTTGTTTTACTTTATGACGTAAAAGCTGATGATACACATTAGTCTGGTACGTTACACATGCTGAATTAGGCTTTCAAGTAGGAATCTGTTTTTAGATTACTCATCTAGACAAGGAAAACTAATAATCCAGAGATTCATGCCTGACTCATTCAAATATTGCTGACATGTTAGTTTCACCTACTGAGGAAATGATGATAATAAACAATGAATTCCTCCTCAGGCATTTGAGACCTTGAGTCAATTCACGCACATAGATTTCAAGGTTTGACCAGATATTGGACATTTGTGACTCACTGACAGTGTACATTTTGAACAACATAACAGAACTCCGCTAAAACAAATTTAATTCTTTGTGTGTGTCTTTTGACTGAAATTATGTCAGCTCCTGCAATGTATTCCTATTTATTTTTCAACACTTATGCGAGTGCTCACAAGTCTAAAACAGCTGCTGTCTGTGAAGGGAACCTACATAACCTTCTTGTAGATTAAAAACAACATGTATATTTGCTACAGCACTAACCAGTCTTTTTTCTACCACTGCCAACCGTAACAAGGTCTTCAGGTGTACTTTTACAAACTACCATGGTTTGTGGCTGCTGGGCTATCTACTTTTTTCCTTCAATATAATACTGTTGTCAGGGCAACATGTGTAATGTGCAACCAAAGGGCTCTTTCAAATATAAAACCAAAAGCAAGAGATTGTTAAGTGCATTTAAACGCATATTCAATTATTATTCCAGATTTGTTTCCATTATTTATATGTTGTCAAAAAGTATGCAGATCATTGTGTACAATGATGACAAAAAGGGTTCATGCTTATACTGGGAAGTTATTTTCTTTATAGTCAATAAACATACAGGTGAATTTAACCTGAGCTTTATATGAACTGTAAATGCACTCATGTCTTGATTGGCCAACACTGCAGATACATATGACATTTACCAACTGCATGTCAATTGTGTTTAACTAAGAATTAATGACTCATTCTAATTGTTATTACCTCTGTGACTATCCGGATGTGTTGGTTAAAATGTCAGGGAAACTGTCGCAGTGTTTGATTGACAGGTGAACAAGAAGCAGTGAAAACTAAACAACCAACATCAGAAAAAAACGAAACAAGAATTACATTTAAAATCTATTTATTTTCCCTAATGCAACCAGGACTATTCAGACCTACAAATAAATGTTTAAAGTAATTAAGATCACGTTAAAAGCCATATTACTCACATGCTTTAGGGAGAAATCTGTACATTTGCTGCACCTAGGAATACTCATCTGGCTGTTGTGGGAATCAAACCTGTTCCATTCATTACAGAACAAACCAAAACATTTAGTTAATTCAGTGTTTGAGACAACCACGCCACCAGAAAATATAATCATCTGCTGCTTATTCATCTATTCAGTTCCATTTAGACTTAACAAAAGAAGCATTGTGACAAAAACCAACACCAGAGCATCGTTGTCCCAACTGAAGGCTTTATTATTTTCTACTGTTCCACTGCCATACAAATGTCCATGGAATCACAACATGTATACAATCTGTACAGTGTGTGTAAAAAAACAAAGTGATTACAGATTCTGCTTTCTACCCATTTGTTGTATGGAAATTAAACAATATAGCTCTATCTACTTGTAGCATAAGTTCTAGTACCTTATAGATTTTGTACCAATGAAAATCAAACACCCTGTTTTGTACATTTTAATTCTTGACGATGAACCTGCTGAGATTTTTCACTGAATAAAGTCAAGAGGATAAAGTTAGGGTGGCTCTTGTGTTTGTTTACAATCATTATAAGAAGAATACAAATATAAGAACGTTCACAATAATGTTCCCTTAAAAATCCTTCATTATGACGCACATGATTCCAACATTTAGTAAACACAGCTCATAGTGTAAACACTCAGTGTAATGTTACTTCATAGTATAGAGCATAGTGCAAAGCTCAATAAGACACATTGTAATTCATTGTAGCACCCGGCTGTTTCCATCACAGCTAAAAACTAAAAAACGCATATTTAATTAAAATCAGTACTTCATGCATGAATTTAAGGACGATTTTCAGTAAAGCCGATTCTAAAATGTATATCAGTAACACACTATACATCAAAAGTAATTCAACAAACAGGCACATATAGTATTATTAATAATACTTATTGATCTTCAAAAGCTTCTTTGTAAACACGCTACATTGAGATAAAATGTATAAAGATTATTGGATACGCTTTTTTACAGTTTCAACAAGTTTTTAGTGTATAGTTGCCATAAAAAGCAATTTTAAGACACAATCATTAGCAACATATGCTAAGCTATCATTTGGAGGTTATTCAAATTAAACAGACTGCGCTGAACGGAAGGCAGCACAAAGCTGTTTGCTGTAAGACTTCATATTCAAGTGGGTCGCTGCTGTGCCAGCAACTCTGGGACAGGGGTAGAAAAAGTACTCTATTTGTCTTTTATACTGTCTTTTTATAAAGTAAAGGTAGCAATACAAAATTGTAAAAATACTCTGTTACCCTGTTACAAGTAAAAGCCCTGCATTTAAAAATCTTACTTAAGTAAAAGCACTGGCATCAAAATATAGTTAAAAAACCTTAACATTGGCTAATCACTTAAATAAATCCTGGATGTAGATGCCCTAGTTTTCAGCTTTATTAACAGTTTTAAATCAAACCTATTATGTTCTATGATCCCTTCGCTGAATTAAAACAGGTGCAACAAAAACAGCATTTCGTAGAACTGTTGAATCAGCTAGCTTCCAGGAAGGAAGAGGGATGTTACCATGGTGACGGCTGAACTCACAGAATAGATTAAACAGAAAACGTGCTGGGCTGACAGTCTGCTGATTAACAGCCAGACAAGAGTAATCATGACTCATACGACACTCTTGATGTGGCCAAAAAGATATAATCTCCGAGGCTGACGAAAAGAAGAACTTTGTTGTCAACACTTGTCTTTTTACAGGCTAAGCCCTACTGTTGTGAAATGTTTAATGTCACGTTGGTATTAACATGAAACCTAGCCCCAGGGTCATACCAGGAAAATAGAGTGTGATGATTGAAGTGTTTTATGATATGGAGGGTTAGGTTATTATTAAGCTTATAATACCATGGGTGGTTGTGTAAGCATAAGATATGTGAACTTCTCACATACCGAAACCAATTCAAAGTTGATACAGTGTTAACAAGGTATTGCCAGGCATCTTTCCCAGCAACTATTTGTTTCAACCATGAAGTGCCAGCACGCCGCTGACCTTATAAACATGAGGGAAAACTGTGATTCATGTTAGCTCAAATGTAATTAAATACATATGTCATTTTAAAAGTAAGAACATGAACTATGTAAACTGCTAACATTGACCATTTGTTTTACACCCTTATGGCTTTGAATTAAGATAGCATAGATCAGCCCTCATAATATTGTTCACCTGTGACTACACATCAAACTGACCTTGTGTGTGCACATCAGGTGCAACACACTCCCATTATTCATCTACAAGGCCGATGATCCTGACAAACAAGCTGTTTACTGCTGTGTCACCTGATTGTGTATCTTGCTGTTACCCTTCACTCTGTTCATCTTTGTGTGTCGAGTGTCGGTGGTCGGTACAACAGGAACCCCGGGGTCCGCGAGAGGAGGACGACCTCTGATGATGTCAGCAGCCTTCTCCGCCAACATGATGGTCGGAGCGTTCAGGTTGCCGTGACGATGCTGGGCATGATGGAGGCATCGATCACGCGCAAGTCTCTCCAGCCCCCATGATGCGCGTGTTGGAGTCGACCACGGCCATGGGGTCGGAGGGCGAGCCCATCTTACAGGTGCAGGACGGGTGGTAGGCGCTGTCAGCTTGCGCCGCACAAAAGCGTCAATTTCGGAGTCGGATTGGACCTCGGGACCAGGCTGGACTTTCGGGACCGCGGAATGATTCGAAGGCCTTCTGGGCAAAAATCTCTCTGGAGAGCTTGACACACTGCCTGAACTCCAACACATCAATGTCCTGAAGGGGATATAAGGTAAGTACTATGAGCAGTATTCCATTTAAAATCCAAAGACCAAGGAAACAGATTATATAAAGTACAACCATAATTAAGCAGGTCTAGACAGTACGCTCTTTTGGGAAGTTTTAGTGCCTGAATCTTACCGGTGGAGAGATAGTTTGGCTGGAGAATGGGGTGATCCAAAGGGTTGGCGCTCTTCAGCTTCATCCAGCCGATACTGGTGCTCCTCATCATTCCCACATGAACCTACAACACCAACAGAAACAGTCGTTACTGCTGGATGTTTTGGGCTCACACTTACACGCCATACTGTATGTACTGCACAGGTAGACTCCCAGGGTTTCCAAAATGGCCTTAACACCAAGTTCTGAGACTTTCCATGCCCAATTCCCTCAAATTCATATATCGGCGAATGCATGGATCAAGGTTAATTACTGTTACAACACTAAGAGTTCTTTATAAGATGAAGGAGTCTCACAGAAGGCCACAGAAATAATATCAAAATAACTTCACTCACTTTCAATCATGTCGATTTACAAAAATGTTCAGGCCCTTGATTTTTCCCTCTTAAATTGACAAAGCTTCAAGGCTTTTAAAGACCCATACTGACAGTGAGGAGAACGCAACCTTACTGTGTGAGAAAAAAACCTGACATTATTTGTGCAGCAAAACCTCCTCTGTTTTATTAGAGGAGGGTTTTTACGCAGTTTAAAAATGCACTTTCAGAAAACTCTGCAAACCGAGAAATTAGTAAAGTAAAGCAACTATTATTTGTTGCACGAACACTTTCATAACATCTAGTGGATTGTCTTCTCTACATCCCCATTATGCCATTCTCAATATTAATGTATTTGCTATCATGATTCCTGGAGACAGAAACACATTCATCAAAGAAATGCCAAAGTTATTCAATAGAAATGTAATGTTGGGATGTCTTAACTTGCTCCTCTCAGGTATTCTTCTCTGGAAAAGCTGTAAATCTGTGATCCGCATCAGCAAGCTCACTCTCAACTCTCAGGTGATTTCCAAGGAGCTCTTTTTATTAAATAAAGGTATGCAGTGCATGTGGTTTTCCCTGGAATGGCACGTGACTGTATAAACACTAAGTATGTGCTTTACGTGACGGGCTGGTTAGTCTAATATATTGTGTATGCATCACTTTATGTTATCCATGACACACTGTTGACACATACCTAACGTCACACACACCCTACTACACAGCTCCCTGTGTAATAAAAGGAAACCATAATCATAAATCCTGATAGCTGCCACACATATGCAGTGAAGTCAGCTCCCACCTTCTTACAGTACATAGACACAACCTGATATGCCTCGATCTTGGAGGCAACATCGCCCGTGGTCGATGACCTGCGATGGCAGGAAGTGAAACTGGATGTCTGGGTGTGTGACTTTTGGACCGCTGCGGATGAACCCCCGCTCTCCAAGTGGGCTGTTGCTCCATAACCTAGAGGGACAGTTGTCATGGTACTGTGAGGTTGCACACATAGCATCTGCCTTGTGTTTGTCATAAAGAGATGACAGATACTGTATGTCACACATGAGTACACCTGTGTAGATGGTGGCTCTGTCTCATCTTGTCTCGTGGTGTGTCTAATGAGTTTGGCAGCTATGTGATGCATGTGGCAAACTGGCAAACCTGCACACCACGGAAAGGACTCTTTATCTGCACTTTACGTGATGGGCTATTTCCTTTTAGTTCAAATCTGTGTTTCTGTGGTTACCTCTCCTGTTGACTGTGTCCCAGCTAAGCTGTTATCTCGTTGGTTGCGCTTTGTAAGGTCAATGGAGGACAAAGTTGAAATAATTTGAACTTGAGCTCTTTATCCTCAACAATGGCACACGGCTGCTGCAGGGAGCTTTTACTGCTGATCACTTGGGTTATGACATTTGTATCTTTGTCTTGTAAACCCTCCTCTTACAACAGATACTGTTCAAATTGAGCAGGATACATAACCCAACCAAGGTTTATTGTGTTTCTCCTGTTGCCAGTAATAACATTCATTTTCTGACTTTCTTTCTTTTGAACAAACAGAGATAATTTTAACCCATACCTGTTGATAACTGATATTTATTTTGATATATTACTTGAAATTCCGTGATATACAGTAAACCTACAAAAAAGTCACTATTTTGGCAGAAGTGTTTTGGGTACCAGTGAACATGGTGAGCCACTCCAGGCCTATCTTGACCATGTGGAAAGGTTTCTGTGCCTTGTAGAGGGAGATGGGCTGAGTGCACTGCTGCTGGACGTACAGCTCCAAATGATCCTGCAGGTTACTGCCAACGCCTGAAAAACAAGAGAGGAACAACCAGGCATTTTTCAGAAGCCTTATTATACTTTTTTAGGGTTTCACTTTCCTGTAATGTGTTAAATAGGTTTTTTATGCAGGTTTATTGTCTGCAAAGACAGGGAAGGAAAAAAAGGCTTTTTGTTACATTCACACATGTACAAATGTAAAAGTATAGGCACAATATACAAATATGAAACCTGAAATTGGCACAGCAGGGCCCCCTTTAATACAGCAGGGCCCCTTTAATACAATGCATTCCGGGGGCTAGGCTGAAAGTGTTATGAGGTGAAAATGAATCCCTCTATTCTCATGTGTATCAAAACTCTATCAAATCTATGCATCTTTAAATCTCAAATCTTTTCTTTTCCATTTCTGTTGTTTAAATAATGGCCTTTAAAATGCTTGAATGGTTTAAAAGAAAAGAAGAATATACCTGGCAAGTGCTGGACCACAGGGATGCCGTGGTGTTTCAGGTCATCAGCATTCCCCACCCCAGACAGCATGAGTAGCTGAGGGGAGTTGATGGCTCCTCCACTTAATATCACCTCTTTTTCTGCATATGCCTGAAAAAAGACAGGAGTTCACATCAATGCCTAGCGGCTATATGCTTTGATATATATATAGAAATTGTATTCATTGGATAAACCCCTTGAGATGCACCATCTCGTTTTCAAGGGGGTCCCGACAATAGCAACAACTTACAGACTTACATAAACAAAAAGACTAAATGCAAAACATGACACACAAGACAAACCACATACAGTCTGTTCAGCGAAATTTCAAGCAATACACACAATCATTACAATTTGAGACAGTCAAGCAAACCAGTTTCATCAATATCAGTTATAACAAGTACAGACCAGTTTAAAGTGAGATAACAATGCATGTTTCAACATACCCAATGATGCAAGAGATCTAATAGCAGCAGGTAAAGTATTCCAGTCAGTTGGGGCTTTAAACATGAACACTCTTCTGCCAATCAATTTGTTTTGCAGAGGGGACAGAGAAATAAATCTGAACAGAATGTCTAAACTTGATGAATTGGTGAGTAGGGTACAAATACTGCTTTAAATAAGGGGGATAGTTAAGATAAATGCATTTAAATATCAGCTGAAGCCAATGCATGTGTCTTCTTACATTTAAAGAAAGCCATTTAAGTTGGTTATACATTGTGCAGTGGTGTGTACGAAAAGGACAACCAAGAACAAATCTGCATAGTCTGTTGTAGGCTATGTTGAGTGGAGCAAGATCTGATTTATGTGCATTTTGGTAGACAACATCACAATAGTCCATAATCGGAAGAATAAGTTGAGAAGCAATTATCTTTCGGACACTGAGCGTAAAACAATTGCGAGAGCGGTGTAAAACACTGATTCCGTAATTTACTTTTTGTATTACATGCTTTATATGTAGTTTAAATGAAAGTTCAGAGTCTAGCCATACACCAAGATATTTAAAGCTATCAACTTTATGCAGAGAAGTGCCATCCTTACATGTTATTACTACATTAGGTTTGGATTTGAGCTTCTGCCTGGTACCAAAGACCATGGTATAAGATTTTGTTTTGTTAAGCAGTAGTTTATTGTGTGATAGCCAGTCCTGTAAGATATTAAAATCCGATTGGAGAGAGATCTGAATTTGTGAAAAATCTGATTGGATGTAATATATGACAGTGTCATCAGCTATAAAGGTGAGTACAACAATTAATGAGACAAGAAGATAAATCATTTATGTAAATAGAGAACAGAAGTGGGCCCAGAGTTGATCCTTGGGGTACACCCTTTTGTTGGATCAACAGGTCAGACTGTTTTCCATTAACAACCACACATTGCTTTCTACTGTGAAGGTACGAGTTAAACCATAACACTGTATTATTAGAAAGGCCAATGCCGGTGAAGTTTATCCAAGAGCAGATATCGATCAACGAAATCAAAGGCTTTTGTCAAGTCCATAAAATGGCACCTGTGAGTTCACCATCATCTGCAGCAGAGTACAAGTCATTTGTAAATTTAGTAGGGCAGTTGTTGTGGAGTGATTAGGCCTGAAACCAGATTGAACCGGAGATAACATATTATAAGTATTGAAGGATAATGTGACAGTTGATTATAAATTATTTTCTCCAAAACTTTGGAAATAGAACAGATTATAGAAATTGGTCTATAATATTTGTATCAAGTAAATCACCACCTTTATGCAGTGGAATGATGCGTGCACATTTCCAAAATAGTCGGGCAACTCACAGGTGGACAAAGACAGGTTGAACAAATCAGCAAGTGGGTATAAACTTGATAATAAATGCTAACGTAACATGTTATCATTTTGACAACAAAATTACGGTAACGACATTGTAATGTGAACCCCATGACGACATGAGTCAAAGAGCAGGGGCGATCTAGACAAATATTCTGGTCTTGGTGGCAAGAGAGTGGCAGGAGATTTTGAGGGGTGGCATCCCCTGGCAGAAGTATGTGCTGATTTAAATCACAGTCATATCAACCAATTAGGGGTGTAACGGTACACGTACCCGTACCGAAATTATTCGGTACGGGCCCATCGGTTCGGTACACGTGATGTACCGAAGTGTACCGAAGTGTACCAAATGAATATAGCGTTAAACGTAAAAAATTGAGAACATGAACAACTTTCTAGAAGTAATCTCAGGTGCTGCGTCGCAGCATTCAGAGTAATTTGCTCAACATTGGGTTTCAACGCGTCATAGAGACGACCAAGTCATTTAATTGGACGAGAGGCATACTATGAGAACTGGTCAGAGGGATGTGTTCAAATGTAGTCAGTAATTTGAGGAACTGTCGAAATGGCGAACGCAGATAAAAGTTGAGCTCGAAAATCCTCCAGCATCATTGAAGTCTCCGGTTTGGGAACATTTTGGTTTCGCAGTTACGTACAAGGATTTTCAGTTTCAGTTTTTTATGATTAGTTGGTTGGGGGCGGGGGAGACCTTAGAGAAGGTTCTGACTGGACTGACTGGTTGCTACGTCTGGTTGCTTGGAGCTGAGTTGGTATAACCCTGAATTAGATTAGAACATTTTTAGAAATATGAGGAATAACCTCTTGGTTTTATAAACCGTTTTGTAATTACTTCTTCATCCATTTTTGGATCTCTGCTGGGTTTCTTTAAAACCCTAAACCCCCCCCTTGGGCTTGGTCCCTCCCCTCTCCCCTCTGCGGATCTAAGGTCCAGTAGAGGGGATGGGGCACAGAGTCGCTTATCCAGGCGGGGGAGTGCATCTGACGAAGAGATAGGTTGTTGTGCTCTCTATCTCTGTTTCTTATCCTACATTTTCACCCTGGACTAGAGGGAAAGCGTTCTTGGAGGCCTTTTCAGCTCTGTTTCTTACTGTATTCTTCCTACCCCGTTTACCTTGAACTATTCTAGGAGAGTGTGTTGACATTGACTCGTTGGGCCTTTCCTCCTGTACTTGTTTGTTCCCCAGTTCTTTCCTTTAACTGAATCTAGGATAGGGCATTTAGGCCTCTCTACTTCCTTCTTTTGATTAGTTTAGTTTTTCACCACCCTTTCCCTTGAACTAATTTACACGGGAGAGTGCATTTACGTAGTCACGTTGTGCCTCTCGGCGTATACTTTGACTTTCTGTCTCTTTGGAGAGTGCTAGTACGTTGGATACGTTGGGCCTTTTCACTGTTGTCCCTCTTCACTAGTATCCCATGTCCCCTCTTAATAATTTGGGTCTTCATAATTTCCACCCTATTCTAAGGGGAAGCACGATGGTGCCTTTTCATTTCAATTTCTGGCTTTGTGTTTCTTCACCTCTTACTCATTTAATATTTAGGAGAGTGCATTTACGTAGTCACGTTCTGCCTCTCTTCCTCTGTTTCTGGCTGTTCTTTTCATACCCTTGTTTCTCTGAGAAGAGAAGAAATACTATTCTAAAAAGGAGCTGACACATGGTGTCTCTTCACTTGTACACTTGAGGGGTCAGAGTTCATATGGTGAGGGATTCCATGAGCGGTATGCGCCGGCCTGTGCCTTACCTTGGACTTCTAATAGAACTGCTCGGGTCTTGATAGATTGAGTGGGGAAGTTCATGAGATCTTTCTAGAGGGTTATCAAGAATAACTTTTATCCAATGACCTTTTCCCTCTCTGTCTGTGTCCGTGTATTCTCTTGTTCCGATTAACCCAGCCAAATCTTTTTTTCTTTTTTTCTTGTTTTGTATCTATATCTACGCCGGGATCCGGAGTCGAGGCTGATCCTCTTGCTGTAGTCCTGTGTCTTGGATCCTCTATCCGAGTTCTGGATTAAGTCGTGGACTTCGGGTCGTGCTGAAACCTGTCTCTGCGGTCCAGCCTTGGGTCTCGTCATGCTGCTTCCCTGATGGCTTCCACAGGATTGTAGCTGACATCCTCGTGGATTCATGTTCTTATTACAGACACATGCATTTCCTAACATTCGGTCTATATGCTATAAATGTATTATCTCTTCGATTTACACACGGCATCTATTGCACATCTGTCCGTCCTGGGAGAGGGATCCCTCCTCTGTTGCTCTCCCTGAGGTTTCTCCCATTTTTCCCCTTTAAACTGTGGGGTTTTTTCTGGAAGTTTTTCCTTGTACGATGTGAGGGTCTAAGGATAGAGGGTGTCGTTTTTTCTCATACTGATATTCTGAACAATCTGTGCTGTTTGTATTTGCTGTAAAGTGTCCTACTGTAGGCTAATTTTATTATATGTACAGCACTTGCACTGGCACTGGCTTGACCAAAAATCGTTTATCAATGTGCTATATAAATAAAACTTGATTTGATTTGATTTGATGGATGACGGACAAAGACAGGTGTGACCAAACCAAAGCTGTTTGTCGGCATTGTTCAACTAAAATGGGTTACGCGGGCTGGCAATATATCAAACTTGTACACTCATTTGAAAAGGCATCACCCAAATGTGAATATCACCGGTACCAAAAGAAAAAAGACTGAAGTGCAAACCCACACTCCCACTAGCATTTAAGCCTCCACCACTCGCAAAAAGTTTAGACCGAGCCAAAGCTATTACAAACGCCAAATATCCTTATGGTTGCCGTGTTAGCAACCTAGCTGTATACCTGGCTGTATCTGCTACCTCTGTCTCTAGAGAGAGGGTGTTTCTCCACAGCAGGAGACATTGTTAGTGCCAGCAGATCTGCCCTTTGGGCAAGCAATGTGGACAAGGTTAATTTTTTCTTTAAAAAAAAAACCATGAAAATACAATGACAAGCAAGTCATAATGTCAAACTGGGTGCTTAGGTACTAGTACAGTACAGTACAGTTAAAATACAGATTATTTCAGTTCATCGAAATGCTGCACCTTAATGTTCATTTTATTATATTTTGTATTTATTTGAGTGAATATTCACAGTTTAATAATAATTAAAAACCCAAAAATAATAGTTTATGTTTTGTGAGTACTAATACAGTAAAGTTCAAATACAGATTATTTCAGTTCATCGAAAATGCTGCACCTTAATGTTTATTTTATTATTTTGTATTTATTTGAATACATTATTCACAGTTTAATAATAATAAAAAAATATATATATATATTTTATGTTTTGTGAAAAAAAATTCTGCTGTACCGAAAACGTACCGAACCGTGACCTAAAAACCGAGGTACGTACAATCACTGTTATGATTCACATATTAATTTATTATTGAATAAACTATATTTTTTGGAGGAGTTAATGATGAATGTTCCTCAAGATGCTTGCTCACCCTCCTTCAAATTTGAAAAACAAGTAATTATATCATTATTGATATACAGTTACAACCTTGACTTTACATCAGAAAGAACAAACATTAAAGAAGTGACTAACTGCATCAGTTAGGGTTAAAAAACGTGTATTCAGCTAAAACATATACATCGCTGCAATAAGTTATTATTCCAGTGGAAAGTTTCTTACCTACTGGCCTAGTTAAATCAAAGTGGTTACTTTTTTTGGCTGGGCAGTGTAGTTTTACCACACCGTCCTTATTTTACTTTCTCAGGACTTAAAACTGTTTTTTGGGGGCAGACCCCCACAAAGAAACATATATATACCACCATACAAGGTCATCATCTAACAGTTTTGTATGCTCATCAGTGAGCAGAGCATCAAGTTGGCATGTCTATTACAGCTGAATGCGGCGATTACTATTTTGTTCAGCAAAACGCCTCACAAACTTATTAAGATCAACAGCTGTAGTGCGTTTTGATTCAATGCTGAGTACAGCCAAACTTGACATTCTATTCTCTGTCATTGTAGACCGCAACTACCTAATTCCTTCCGTCTACTTGAGTCCGAAATGCTTCTCGTTTTGCGCCGTCCCCCCCGTTCAATTGAATTCACCGCCAATCATATTTCCACGCTCGCGCCAGGGCCGGGGGAGGGGTTACAAGACTCGCGTCTTGTGCTGCATTCAGTGCACTCGGACATTAGAGATTTTCTCTCATAAATGTCCGATGAGCCACAAACTTTTCTTTCAAAACAAAGATGCCAACTGGGGGTGGCAGCTGGGGGTGGCAAGGCTATTGTTTAGGGTGGCAGTGGCCACCCCATGCCACCCCGGTAAATCCGCCCCTGTCAAAGAGTCAAAGTGATGAGATTATCTCTCTGGGGAACATGAGGGTTTGAACAATGAATAACTGGATGAGTGAGTGCAAGCTGAAAAGTCAGGAGATAATTGAAGCCATTATGAGGCATCCAATGGGCAACGCAGAAATCTGTGCCAATTGTTCCAAAAATGGTTCTTTATGAATGATTTGTAATTGTATCGATCGTACCCTTTTCTTTTGTCCATCCTGTGTGTACTCCACGCCAACGGCTCGGTTGCCATCAAACAGGATCTTGGTGGTCAGGCAGCAAACCTCTGTCGTCAGGTTGGGCCGACCCAGGGCGGGCCTCAGGTAGGCGCTGGCTGTGCTCCATCTCTTTCCTGGACAGATTTGGGCAGTGAGATGTAGGCAATATTTAAGTGTTGGTTTATTAAAGATGTATAAATACAAGTTCCTTTTCCCTCTAACCTTTATGAACGGTCATGTCCATCCAGCCCAGGCCCTCCTGTTGCTCTCCGTTCAAGTCGTCAGTGAAGGGGTATCCTGCCTGCTGCCCCGCCTCAATAAAGGCTTTATGCAGGGGGTGGTCGGTCTTCCCTCTTGACACGTGAAGAGGTCCACTGCCTCCCCGGTACCTACAGTACAGGGTCACATAAGAAACACAAATGTTATGATGATAAAAGTTACTGTTCAAAATGAAATCCATTGATTTGGTCTGTCAGGTGTTTTATCTTCATTACTTTTAATTAAAATAGATTATATTAGGTGCTTTTCATGCCGTATTCTGTTTGTGAGGTAGAATGCTTTTTAGATATGTAGAAACCAAAATCATTAGTTATGATACAGGTTTTTTTCATTTTAAAAATACAATGAAATAGATGCTTTTGGCCCGTGGAACAACATTAATTTATAGTTGTATCCCTCTTAGAAAAAGGTATGTGCCTCCTGATGTATGGCAATAGTTTTGAGATTTGACACATAAAAGTAGAATAATGTCAAAATGTGCACGACCTGAACTTCCAATTCCTGCATGTGAATAAGAATACGATGCAAGGAAATGTACCAAAAATAAATATCTTTGGACATCAAGGCTTAAGTAATCTAATGCCAGACGAATGATGGAAAAAGTTAAGCCATTACATTTATAGATTTTTTTAATACAATTTAAAGTGTTTTGAATTAGTGGTAATTAAAGTTTAAAAGTCTCAAAAATGCTACAACTACTGTCACAAACTGGATGAATGTGAAGTATTTTGTTAAAGGAGGATGAAGGCGTAATTAAGGAGCACTATTGGAGTGACTTTGATGGTTATTGGACTCAGGATTAATTCATTTGGATTCCCGCTTATTAAAGGACGGCGCGTGTGGGAAAGTGGAAACAATTCACAAAGGGATTAAACTGTTTAAAACACATGCTCAAAGTAAGCCGGATTTTGCCGATGTGTTTATGTGGATTCAAAAGTCGTAAATAATCTACAAAATGGAGGAGACCGATCTGATCGGAGCAACTGTGACAAATAATCCAACTGAAACCGGCATGGACAATATGTTTTAAAAATGCGCTTATCCAGACAAGCCTGGTTTGGACACTTTATGGGCAGAAGAAACATTTATATTAAAGAAAGAATTATACATTTCTGTCTTTTTATGCCTTTAATAGCGACTAACTTGAATTTTATTAAAATTAATTAATCAATTTTTTAAATTTTTTTATTGTAATGTAGAGACAAGGCTTTTAGTGACAATCATATGATATTTGGCCTCAAATCATTTGAGGCCGGGGGCCCTTCTCACTTCGGTTAAATTAATTCCTTGCGTCCCTCACTTGTGTCGTTTCCCTGTGACTAGTCCCTCTCACCAGGGAAGCAAGGAGAGACGCAAGGAAACCACGAGAAGCAGGGAAATGAGTTTTAAGAGCAATGGGACGTCCTTTCCTCCGGAGCGTCACGTGAAGCGATGTCCGTTTGTGATGACGCCACACAGCTGATCGTCTGACAGCAGCTCTGTCCCCGTTATTTCCACACTCACCCCCGCCTCTGTTCGCACACATTTACTGACACAAACATTTGTATCATCTGTTGTAGACCCAAATAAATAAAATAAAATAAGAACTCATTCTCAAAAAAGATAAACGCCATTCTTAAAATGTATAAACGAACATTAGTTGGATTAATATTGATTAGAGTGCACAATAGAAATACAATAATTGAGAGAAGAAAAAGAGATATGTTATCTATCAAAACCCAGTTAGATTAACATTCATTGGATTGCACACTTTGTGTGTTTGTGTGGATATGTAGCACATTAACATTTTAATAGTACTTAATGACTGACTGAATGGAAATGACAATAAATGAAAATGTAAAACGAAAAAAGCGATCATGAAAATGTTTCCAAAAAATGAATAAAATGATTTTTGACCACTTTGTTGATCAGATATATCACATATTTGTAACTAAATGAAACATTAATTGAAACAAAACACGGTATAAACTGAGGAGTGACTCCCGTGAGGTTCATGTATTTTCTTCACTCCGCTGGGAAACTGCTCTCATGTCAAGAAGCATCAGATCAGTGCATGCACTGCATCGTCCAATCAGTGAGCGATACACAGTAAGCGGGCAGGGCGAGTGTCTGAGGATTTCATCGAAGGATGGTCTGGTGGTTCCTCGGTTATAGCTCCTCCATTATCGCTCCTCGCTCCTCCGGCAAAAATAAGGCCATTGGGACGCTACTCAAGATGGCGCAGACAAATCAACTTCCGGTGAGACCGAGACCAAGGAGCGAGGAAATGAAAAATAAAAGAAGTGAGAAGGGCCCCTGGGCCAGGTTGGGATTTATTTTTAAATATTGAAGTTAAAAGCATCAATCTGGTGCACTTTGAGAGCAAAATGAAGAGATCTATGGATACATCTCTGATCACCCATATGAAACAGAACTGTAAGCAGATTTTATTTTTCTTTATGGATATTTTACAACTCACTTTTAAACTGTATTCTTGTTTTACTGTCATATAGTATTTCATAACTGTTTTATTACTATAATGATCATATGAAGGTGTGCCAATAATCTTTTACATAATAATTGCATTCACTGAACACGGGAAATTACAATCCTGCCGTCCTCTAGTGTCATGATGAGGTTCAGGTAAAGCACGGTTAATGTATTATTCAGGGTGATTCAGAAATTATCACATGACTTGAAGTCATATCTGATTTCAGATGTGGGAAGTTACCAAGTACACGTATTCAAGTAGGCTACTGTACTTAAAGGTGGGGTAGGTCATTTTGGAGAAACCGGCTCGAGATACACTTTTTGTTATATTCCATGGAATGCTCTTAACATCCCGATAGCAATGAATATCTTAAGTGCTTTGACAATAAATCCATAAACAAATGTCATCTGTGGAATGTAGTAGTACTGTAAAAAGCACGACCAATCATTTTAGCCGGGCCGGCTAAAATAACTGGATGGCCTACCTGCCTGTCAGCCTTCCATCTGTGCACAAACTTATCTTGTGCCCTCATTGGTCATGTGCGCGTTTGTGTGTGTTGGAGGAGGGGCTCTGTAAGGAAGTGGCAGATTTTTTCCGGCTGTGTATTTTCAAATTCAAACGCACTCGAGCTGGTTTCTCCAAAATTACCTACCCACCTTTAAGTACCATTTTGAGATATTTGTACTTTACTTGACTTTGATCTACTTTGTAAAATTAGCTGCACCTTTACCAGCTCTGATAACACTTTAATGATCAATCATTACAAAACATATCATATATACTATTCTGAAATGGACCAATCTGCACAATGACTACTTTAACTATATTTTGATGATAATACTTTTCTAATTTTACTTGAGTAACATTTTGAATGCTGGACTTTTACTGTAACAGAGTATTCTACGGAGCACCCTAGGGGACATGGAGAAGAAAAAAAAAATGTTTGGAAAAAATGACACCGTGCTGGGCAGAGATGGGGTCGTTACTAAAAAAAAGTAATATATTACATATTACTTTAAAAAAAAGTAATATATTACACTACTTCGTTACTCTCTACATAAAGTAACTCGTTACTTTACTCACAGGGCCGGCCCGCCCCTACCTACAGGCAGATCACACAGACGGCTGCGCACCTACAGTGTGCGCGCGCCACAGTTTTGCCTCTACTAAAAATAAAACTTCAAACATCGCAAAATAAACTGGTCAGACTACTGCTTGACCTTTCATCTAGAACCCACCTCACCTCTGCCCACTTTGACAACCTAGGATGGCTTAGAGTAGACGACAGAGTACAGCTACTTGCAATGGGCCTGGTCTACAAGATCCACTACACCTCTATGGTACCCATGTACATGTCAAAATTCTTCCCAAAGGTCAAGGAATACCATGATCATAACACCAGAGGGAGCTCCACAAATCATGTGAAACCCAGATTTGGCACAAAAAAGGGGGAATACACGTTTCGCAATTATGCCACATCAAGGTGGAACGCTCTTCCCACAACTGTAAAGGAAAGTAAAACTATACTTACCTTCAAAACCTCTCTTAAAGAGCACCTTCGGGGGAGAGCATTGCAAAACTGGCCCCGGTAATGGTACAAATCTCAACCTGTCGTTCAATGGACAGCTTCCCCCCCCCCCCCCCCCCCCCCCCCCCCCCATCTATGTATATACTCGCATTTTATACTCTGTTACTAACTGTATATCTGTAGACTTGGTATGTCTTAAATGTCCGGTTAGGATGTATTAGAACGAAATCTAAAATGAAAATTGTAAATAAGCAATCTGTATGTAAAAAACCACCTGTATGTAAATTGTAAATAAGCCATCTGTATGTCAAATATGTCTTATATGTCTTAAATGACATGATGAATTGGAAATGGGGGACCCTGATGTAAACAAGACGAAAGTCTTTCTCTGGTCTGCATCCCCTTAACAATTGTATGTTTTGAGCTGTACTGTACTGTACCCAATATACAAGCTGTTAATAAACTTTTCAATCAATCAATCAATCAATCTGCGAGACTCCACTTGCACCCCCAATTACTATTGCATTAAGGAAGACATAACACAAGTCTTTCTTTTTATATGCTCTAAAATAGGCTACCAGCCACACAACAAGCTAACAGTCTGTGAAACGTCAAGACACTAATTAATTAAACCAGTTAAAGACGCATTATTCTTATCATTCTTTATGAGCGCATAACGGTAAGGTATCTAATTACTTATTTATTTAGTATTCCATAACTTAGTAACAGAGATGGTCAAACTAAAGTGGTAGAGACATGGCAGAATTCCTACAATGAAGCGGGGCATTGAACTGTTCACCCGTGAGAGGGCGATCAACAAAAGAGAGCGAGCGGCCCCATTGAGGGAGTTTACAGATGAAAAGACTCAGCCATGTTTATGCAGCACTGCACGTGGAGATGTGGTCTCGCAAATCGCGCAGATTACATTGGCCTACATGTATATAAACCTGCGGCGGAAACCCCTCTTGTCTGTCAGTGAGTGTGATTATTTTATAAAAGTAACGAAGTAACGCGTGTCGGGGCAATGTTAGTAACTGTAGTGTGATTATTGAATTATAAAAGTAACGCGTTACACTACTCCGTTGCCGTCACAAGTAATATTGTAACGCGTTACTCCCAACTCTGGTGCTGGGGATGAAACTCTCCAATTGGCTCCGCAAAACTTTTTAGTTTTTTTGTGTCAGTTTTACGTCGTCACTTCTATTCACATATTTCATCATTGTTCCACAATGTTTATCATCATGAAATTAATATCTATATATTTTATACTATACTTGCACTGCTTACCGTTTTCATACTTTATATATCTTAGCATATTCATACACACTGTTCATACTGCTCACAGGCTACTGTGTATATCTAGTGTATTCATACCCCTCACTGTTTATCCATCAATTCATTATATATTTTATTCTGTAGATTGTGTACATTACTTTTCACTTTACTGCTTTTTGCACTCCTGGTTAGAAGCTAAACTGCATTTCGTTGTCTCAGTACCTGTAATATGTGCAATAACAATAAAGTTGAATCTAATCTTGAGCAGGAACAAATGTATTTACTTAGTACATATCTGACATTAACGATTAAACACATTTGTGCATTCTTTATAAATGAAAACCGAGTCAAGCCGATTCCGAGCTGTCCGACTTCAGACGAGCCTTTTGAGACCTCCCCCGGCTGCAATCGGCTATTCTCGTCTACTTTCGAGGCGAGCTGCAGCTCATCTCAAACAAGCCTAGTTACCGTCACACGTAAACCAAACTACAGACAACCTAATTATCTTTTACAATAACACCTGGAAAAATGCATGGCTTTTCTGATATCTACTTCCCTGTTCTATTTGTTTCCAGACCACACAAGTCTTTATTATTCATTTGCATGTGCCAAAGTTAGATCTGACGCATTAAATGTAACCTTTGAAACTCATGCGACCAGGTTCTGCTTGACGAGGGATCTTTGTGCCTCTGCACATTTCCTTTAAATGAGTCTGTGGGACTGAAGCATTAGCACTGCCAGAGTTAGGGCTCCCTACTATCCATGTTTATACATCAAAAAAATAAAATGTGTACGGGCGGAGGGACGGGCGAGGGAGTTTTGTACCTGTTTTCTCCCAGCTCATGACACTGAGCTTTCCTAAAGTAAGGCAGACAGTGTTCGTAGTCCCAGCCCTCGGCCCCCTCCCTCTGCCAGCGGTTGTAGTCTTCAGCGTGTCCGCGGATGTACACCATGGCGTTAAGTGAAGAGGACCCGCCCCAGACGCGGCCCCTCGGCCAGTACAACACCCGGTTGTCCATGTTAGCCTGATGTTCAGTGTGGTAGTACCAGTTATACCTGAGGAGAAACGTGAAGAAATAAAGAATGCCATCAAAATGGAACCAGTTTAATAACATGTTACTATATTGAGAAAGTTATCAAAATGCTGCATTGATCACCAATGTGACACCTAGATGATTTGTTAAAATTACTTGTCCATTTTTTATTTATTCAAGCAATGTTATAAATGCATATTTGCCTTATTGTGCATTTTTTTTTTTTATTCAGTAATAACTTTTTTTCTTCTGGAATGGACCGATTTTCCGCTTTCATATTTACTAAACTGTTAGTTGAGAAAACTGTATAACATAATTTTGCAAAAAAGTATTTTAAAGGACTGATGTTTTGGTTAAAAAGGAAATCATATCAAGTCAAAAAGTGGCATGTTTTCTACCTTTGTGTTGAATTTACTCATGTTTGCACACGCTTAAAAAGAAAAAAAAGAGTGTAGTAATTAGGGATGTAACGATACCAAAAACTCACGGTGCGATAATATCGCAATAACAAGTCCACGGTACGGTATTTATCGCGATATTGAATAATAAAGAAGAAACAAAAAAAAAAATTTTTTCAATACAATTTTTTCATTATTACATAATAAATCTGATTTGTACAGCATTTTAGTAGGATAGCAGTATTTTAAAGTGTCAAAAACAAAGTGACAGTAACAGACTGGAACAAGAAAACCAGTGTTTTTGTACCTATAGTAGGCCTACTACCAAACAAAGTAGGCATTTTCTTTGTGCCACTGCATCTCACAAATAAACAAGGACATTTAATAATCAGACCCTGCAATAAAATAAATCAAGTTTCACTTTAGTTTTTCAAGTAACTCAACTCAAACTCACTAGTCACTCACTCAGCATCACCAGACAGGTTTTTAGGAATATGAGAATGTCCACATTTCCAGGTATTTATAAGCTGGGATGTTTGGGCATTTACATATCCCCTGCTCTGGAAAAAACTCTCTCGCTTGGTACTGATGTTGCTGGGACAGCAGTTAACCGAATATTTTATTTAACAATGACGGAAAAATCTGAAAGCAGTCTGTCATTTTGACAGATTATAACAAACTCGGAACAGCACCAACGTTTCCCCGCAGCGAGGCTCTGGTGTTATGCCGTGTTATGCATGCCCTCCAAAAGGAAATGATATAGTTTCCAAACCGTACTTTGCCGTACAGATCAATACATGTCTGGGAGGTTTTGCTTTACGCTGTGTGTACTCCCGCGAGGTGCATGCACACACGGCATAACACCGCCCCCCCCCCCCCCCCCCCCCCCCGTTGACAGTTCACGAGTGTGCTCTCTCTCTCTGTTCAGACCCGACGGGTAATAAGGGATTATGACGGATATTTTCCGATCCTGTCTGTCAAAATGACGGACAGTGAAAAAGTCTAAAGCCACCTCAGTGGGACGGAGAGATATGCTTTGGCCATGGGTGACAGCAGTGGGTCAAACTGTGCATTGTCTCTCCACCACTTCAAAAACAATACAGTTTTTGCCAAGAAGGTGAGGCTTATTGACAGAGATATAAATATACTGTTGGTACTTGTCAATGTCTCTAGGTATGTACATGTAGTCCTGTAAATACGATGTCCTTTTGTGTTCTGTTGTTTTATGTTCATGTTGTAACCTACTTGCTGCCATGTTGGACAGATCTCTCTTGAAAAAGAGATCGATGATCTCAATGGGACCACCTGGTTAAATAAAGTGTTTAAAATTAAAATTAAATTTTTTTTATTTTAAATCGCGGTAGATTTTGTCAGTCTCACGACGGTATTGGGACGTTTATTTACCACGATATTCGGTATATCGTTACATCCCTAGTAGTAATAATAAATCAGTTTTATAGATTAGTCCATGTGAAATAATTAACTACTGTACTTGTCATCGCAGAGGTTGTAGGTCAGTGCAGCTGGCATGTGGATCTTCCATGAGAGTCTTTTGATGCCAAGCAGCATGTCCTTAGGCCCAGCCTCCAGCTGCAGCACGGACTCATGGGCGTCCTCACTGAGACGGTTGGCGAGGACGCAGCCCGCTGACCCTGCCCCAACAACGATATAACTGTAGGACGGGGTTTTCTGATTGGCTGTTGGTGATGATGAAGCGTTCCAGTGAGCAACTGTGGTATTTAAACATCTGTGATGGTTGGACGAGTACTGGTTACTATTCCTGTAAACAAGTTCTGGCCAACATGTAAACAGGCACCTGCCATCCTTCGTAAATCTCCCTCGGGCCGCAGTCACAACTCGTCGGGCACCAGTTTGGCCTGTCATGGCCAAGAACAACATCCTGGTTGTGGGAGGGATTTCTTCATTCACTGTAAATCAGAAGAACAGACATTAAAGGATTCACTTGAGGGGGAAAGCTGGAACAGGGTGAAATACATCTGGCGTTGAGATGTGGATAAATGTGCTCATTTGTTTACTGGCTTTCTAAGTATGCAAATTGTGGGTTACAGATATGCGTTTGGCTGACATTTCTTCTCCAGCCACACCTTGACCTTTTTTTTAATCTCAACTCAACTAGAAATACTTCACTTGGAGACAGTTACTTTTGATAATTTGCTGTTTTTGAGGAGAGATGTTAAAGTTTCTCTCCTTAATGTACCAAATGCTGGTCTATAATAGAGACACTTTACTGAGTAAAAAATCATAAAAACATAATTAAAACAACACACTTCAAAATATATAAAACAACATTAATTACAGATTAAAAACATACTCTATAGATACAGTATATATTTTTGGTATGTACAACTGTCGGGCTGGGCTAAGCCGATGTTACTAGATCCAAGCAACACCCCTGTCTGGATCTTTAAAACGGTGTAGTGTGTATATGCTTCTTTTGCATTTGTGCTGTTAATAATGTATTTTTATAGAGAGTAGGGCTGTCATTTTTACAGTGATTTAAAGGTCACCTATTATGACAAATCCACTTGTTCCTGTCTTTTACATAAACATGTGTCCCCTCTTTGTAAAGAGATTCTGAACGGTTCAGGAAAAAAGCTTCGCTCCTTTTTTGTCCTGATCCATTTCTATAGAAACCTGTCTGAAAATGAGCTGATCAGATTTTGGACACTTTATGATGTCATAACGATTTTTTTTGGCTTGTGTAACCATTAGCCAATAACCAACCAAGGTAAACCCCCCACCGTATCACCTGAATCTCCTCCTAGAGCAACTTTGTGTTCTTTTTAACCAAATATCTCTCAGAGGGGCGTGGGGAGGGGCTCCTTATTTTCATCTAAAGTAAAAGACAGAGAATCACCACTTTTGAAACAGGGCTAAAACAGAGGGGATTATGGGATGCTATAATGCATGATCTGTTTGGTATTTGGAGCCAAACACTTCAGAGACATGTTTTGTATCTGAGACCTATAATATATTGATGAGGAGACCTTTAAATATGCCACCTTGCTCTGAGTCTGTGCCCCAGATTGGCCACCCCACCAAAACATGTGATCCGCCCCTGTTACAAAGCAAAGGCTGCAATAAACGTTATGTTCTTGCAAATCTTTTATTGGAAGGCTATTCCATAGTGCGTTTAGTTCAAAGAGAGAGTGTTAGGTCTTCTCATTCAGGACAATGCAGATAAGTAGGTCAGGAGGACTGTCAGAGCAATAAACCAGCAACCACTCACTAGCAGTTTTAGTGACTGCAGCAAAGTCAACAACACTTCTAAGTCGATAAACAGCCAAAATAAATATACACTAAAACATTGACAACATGTGGAAAAAACACAATGTCCCCAAGTTTGAGTAACTTGTTTTTGGCTTGTCTGAATCAGCCTAAATGTTTAGGATGAAGGACATTTCGCAACCGTTAGCTTATCAGTTTAACAGTCAAAGGTCTACAGATCTTTTTAGACACATGTGCTTGATATAAAGACGTTTCAAACACTTGAAAATGCATTTGAAGTGTTTTGGAAATCTTCAGAGGCACTTAGTAGATGTTGACAGAAATGTTGAGGCTTTCTGCAGGACTTAAAACCGTTACATTAGGTCGTGTGCAGTTTAACTTTAAGGTGTTGCAGAGAAAACTGAATGTACATTTACAGAATAACGAGTAGGGGAATGTCAACACAGACGCGAATAACTGAATGGAGGAGTAGAAAAGAAAACCTTACCTCGATGAATCAGGAGACTGGAACCGATTTAACTCCAGCCAAAAAAACAAAACTGGCGGTAGGCGGGGCTTGCGGGCTGTATTTATAACCCGCGTGTCACTGACGGGATCACCCAGCAACGCACGGCAGCTTGACAGTCAGATGCTGAGCACTTTACTAGTGTAATATCACCCATTTTTTCCATTTATTTATTTTAATTCAAATCTCCTCCTTTTTTTATTGATTGTTTTTAAGGTCCAACCTGCTGTTGATGATGTGGGGAGCCACAATGATTTGTTTCTTCTTTGTGGCGGCACAGGTGACATCACAAGAAATTGTAAGTTATCGACTTCTAATGGCTAATGCATAAATCGTTCATGAGTTTATCTTTATGTGTAGCTACATGTAATTTAAGTGGTCTATATCTGGAATTTCTTTGCAGAAAGTCGAATGCCGTAAACACGAAAGTCATGGTATGGTTTATACATTTTTTTCATGGATGAGGATTCTGACCTCAAATGTTAATAATATAATGTTGGTTTTCAAGCCACTATAGTGGATGATATCAAAAACAGTGCTAGTTGTATGCCACTGCAGTCTTTGAAGCTTTGACTGTTAATTTAATTTGACTCTCCAAAGCTTACAACTCTTTTGGGACATCATGAGTCAGGATCACACAAAAGGAATGTTAACCCACCAAATTGGGACGTATAAAGACTAATGAATGAATACATTGTAAAAAAAGGAGGGTAATCACAATGGTTTCTTGTTCTAGTGCCACCTCCAGGAAGTAATGTCTCTCCATCATCCCTGAAGGAGCTGAGAGGGGAGTTGGTGACAGATGGAGCAAATTATATGATAAACATAAGCTGGGCAATCAGTGTTGATGGTAGGAGACAATTCTGATTATTTTTTCTAAACGCAAACTTGTAAAATCCCTTGACGTTGTTGACGTTGTAATGTAGACAGTTTCCCCAATGTATCTAACACTAGGAAGTTCTCTGGCTTCCATCTTATAGTTGATTATAAAGTATTTGTTGTACAAAAGTTAGTAGCCAACTGATTTTTACTGGTTTTCTGTGAGAATAATGCAAGGTACTCCCACTTTGGTTTATATATGATATAGATTTATCAGAAACTCATTTAGTCTGCTATCATGCTACAGGCAGATGGTAAAAACGTGTTTACCGAATATTTAAGCTGGTACAGACAGGGAAAATAAAATACAGTAACCCTAATCAATGATTTAAGGCAGTGCACACTAGACATATTTCAATATGGGCTTTAAGTGTCAAATATCCTATGATCAGTTTGAATAAAAAACAGATATATTGTATTTGTTCTCTCATCTTTTCAATTTTTTTAACATAACATTAACCCTTAAGCTTATGAAGTTATTGTTGTTGTATGTGTGTTGTATACAGGGTTGGGTTGTAACGGAATACATGTAACGGCGTTACGTAATCAGAATACAAAAATCAAGTAACTGTATTCAGCTCGCGTTACATTTGAAAAACGAGTAGGCCTAATCTGATTACAGTTACTTTCGTAAACCTGAAGTGAATACATTTTGGATTACTTATTGGAATTATTGGTGGAAAGATTTCCTCACAACATTTAATATTCATTACTAAAGGTATACAGCCGAATCATCACAGCCCACAAAACCTATTACCGCCGCAGATGGACCAAAAAAGCGTTTGAAAAAAAATCGCGGGTCCGCTCAGTGAAACAATAACAACGAAACATGGAGGAACACAAGTCTGCGTTTAAATCGCGTGTGTGTGGTTAAAACACATCAGCCTGCGGTCGCTCTTTCTTTAGCCTTACTAATGATTATTTCTGAAGGTAAACACGGTGAAGGCGGTGCGTGAAAGGCACTGCGTGCTCGTCTTCTCAGAGGCTGAGTTAACCCTCCCGCTGCCTCCTGGTGCTGCAGAGATTTCATGAAGTGAAGGAGGTTTTCCTTCTATAAAACAGCTGCGGGCAGCAGATACTGTGAGAGTCACGGACATTAATTCATAGATCAAGGCAGACTGGTGCACACACTCTCCTGTTTTGCCAATCCGGTGCTTAAACAAATATAGCTCTACACCCCTGGCCGTAATGTCCTTAAAATGAAGTCCGAGTTTGACATTTTAATTCATGTCCTGCTAACACTGGCAGGACAGAAGGCGACACGCTCGTTCTAAGCCGTGTCTCTCACTCCTCACATCCCAAACTGCATCCCCAAAAAGTTAATTATGTTGTTACATCGTTTCAGATGTTGTGTTTCAGTTGTGCTCTTGATAAGCCATTAAAACAGTAAAAACACATTCCTTTTGCTTTTTGTGTCTCCTGTACACCAAAACATACCCATCAGTGATGGAAAAAGAAAGTAATCCAAAAGTAATCTGATTATGTTACTTTTTTAAGACACGTAACTGTAACTGTATTCGGATTACTTTCAGAGCCATGTAATCAGTAATCAGTAACTGATTACATTTACAAAGTAACCCTCCCAACCCTGGTTGTATATACATGCCACTGTTTATGCATTAGTTGTGTAGAGCAGTAGCGTAGGCAGAAATGTACTTTAGGGTGGGCCTGTAAAAAATAGGGTGGGCCAGATTTTTCTTCTGCGCATCAGAAGCTAACAACAATCCCCGCCGGTACCGGTGGCAGATTACTTTTAGAATACTTTCTTTTTCCATAACAGATGGGTATGTTTTGGTGAACAGGAGACACGTATTTTACTGTTTTAATGGCTTATCAAGAGCACAAACACAACATCTTGGTGTCATTCTGAACAGCTCTCTCATCTGCACCACACATAAAAAACATCACCCAGACTGCATTCTTTGTACTGTCTTAAAACCTTTCCTTAGAATATGTTATGAATTGTAAGGTGTCCTTGGGTGCTTTGAAAGGCGCCCCTAAATAGAATGAATTATCATTATTATTATTATTATTATCTGAAACGATGTAATAACTTTTTTAACTGTTTCCAGTCACTTGCCCCATGCATTCAGCAGCAGCAGGCCATTCACTTTGATTTTATCCCGTTATAAATGTCATCATTTCGACAATAAAGAAATGCTACATAAACGTTATCTTGCACATTTTTATCTAACCATCTCCGTTTCTAACTTTCATTATATTTTAAAAGAGATCTCTCTTTCTCATCTGCGTGCGGGGGCGGGGCCTCACAGACACGCTGCATCTCTCTCTCGCTCACAGACATGCTGCAGCGCTGTGCAGTGTGCACACAGTTCTGCCCGGGCCCGGCGCCACAAGGGGGCAAAAGGGGGCATTGCCCCCTCAGTTGTATTCTTTGCCCCCTCACTTTGAGCATCATTCATCCATCGAAAAGTAAAATAAATGTCACAATTATTAAATAACTTTAAATAATGATTTCCCCCAACACACGTTACTATGTTTAGATCAGATATGTGGGCAGGCAGCATGGGCGGTGCCAGGATTTTTTTGCTGCAGTAGCTTAGCAGTTGCTATATGACAGCACGGCGTTGCTAGTTAATTTTCAAAATAAATAAACAAACAATACCAGTGGGCCAAGCACGAGCCTGTTCATATTGTAGCTATTCAAAATCACAGATCACGAGCCTTCAATGTCGAAAATGTTCTCTTTATTTTCTGGTAGGCCTATTGACGGCCACAGCCACACCTTACAGAACCAATCAATAACACTCATTATGACTTTTCCCCACACTCGAACACAACTCCTACCGTCTCATACTCCCTCCACACACACCGGAAAACGCACACACACACCTGGAAGGGGCGGTCTCTCACTAACTCCCACAAACAACATTGCCTAAATAACTTTACAAATGTACTAAACTGTGCACATCTGATAACTGACATAACTATTAACTTGGACACGCTACAATAATATCATTAATATTTACATTAAAACATTCCTTTGACACTTATAACATTACTTTGCAAGGTAAGCACAACCAACATAAGTTGGTAAAAGCAAAATTTGAACACTGTTTCTGTGCTCCTACAATATTCGTGTATAATAGGCGTGTGGTGCAGTGGGTTGAGTGTTGGTGTTCGGATCAAGGGGTCACAGGTTCAAACCCCACTGCAGTCAGCATGTCGTTGTGTCCCTCGGCAAAACACTTCACCCCAAATTGCTCCTGTGGGGATTTCTCACAGTATTGAGTATGTAAGTCGCTTTGGATAAAAGTGTTTAACAAGTGACATGTAATGTAATACCATTACACCCTAAGCTTACAAGTACACAATCGCAATCGTACACTGTTTCAACTGGCATGCTGTGGCATTTAACCACACCGCAAACATACAGACACACCCACACACGGATGTCCGGCTCCGTTGGAGATCGCGGTCGTTTACACTGACTTGTGAGAAATCTTTCCATTTTCGATCTGTGTTCACATACTGAGAATTATAACAACATTAGCCAAGTAACAGTTCACGCTTTAACTTACAACGACCCCTGATAGATCTCGCGAGAATGTGTATAAATATATATAGATGCATTTTCATAACAAAACAATGGGGTTGCTAGCCGTTGCTAGGCCAATTGTTGGAGTTGCTATAGCAATTACATTTCCATTCAACTCTCTGGTTGGTCTGGTGGTGTCTTGCCTTTGAATTCACTGAACACGGGAAATTACAATCCTGCCGTCAGTCCTGCCGTCGTCATGATGAGGTTCAGCTAAAGCACGGTTAATGAATTATATGATTGACTCAATAATATAATACATGACTTTGAGAGTAGGCATATTAACACAATTAATTAAACACACTTATCACGGCGACGGTGTACTGAGATTATTATTATTTTTTCATTTTTTTGCTAGGGGGGCCTTAGTGGCTGCGGGGCCCTAAGCGGCCGCTTATGTCGCTTAATGGGTCGGGCCGGCTCTGACCGTATCGGGACAATGAGCGATATCTAGTGACGGATTTTGGAACATTGATCTGATTTTTCTCATGGCAGTTATAGACAAACCAGGGGACTGTCCATTTGGTGTAGTATTTGATCTAACATTACATTTGGTTTATATATTAGTCACTTTGTTATGAAATGCCAGGTTTTAGGCCTTGATTTGAACATTCAATCCTGGAAATAAAAATTCCCAGATTATTTGTTTTTTAATCCTGATATAGAGTAGATAGTAAATCTGATAAGAAGACGAGTTAAG